TTCCAGGTACTCCCTGCCCTTCCAGGTACTCCCTGCCCTTCCAGGTACTCCCTGCCCTTCCAGGTACTCCCTGCCCTTCCAGGTACTCCCTGCCCTTCCAGGTACTCCCTGCCCTTCCAGGTACTCCCTGCCCTTCCAGGTACTCCCTGCCCTTCCAGGTACTCCCTGCCCTTCCAGGTACTCCCTGCCCTTCCAGGTACTCCCTGCCCTTCCAGGTACTCCCTGCCCTTCCAGGTACTCCCTGCCCTTCCAGGTACTCCCTGCCCTTCCAGGTACTCCCTGCCCTTCCAGGTACTCCCTGCCCTTCCAGGTACTCCCTGCCCTTCCAGGTACTCCCTGCCCTTCCAGGTACTCCCTGCCCTTCCAGGTACTCCCTGCCCTTCCAGGTACTCCCTGCCCTTCCAGGTACTCCCTGCCCTTCCAGGTACTCCCTGCCCTTCCAGGTACTCCCTGCCCTTCCAGGTACTCCCTGCCCTTCCAGGTACTCCCTGCCCTTCCAGGTACTCCCTGCCCTTCCAGGTACTCCCTGCCCTTCCAGGTACTCCCTGCCCTTCCAGGTACTCCCTGCCCTTCCAGGTACTCCCTGCCCTTCCAGGTACTCCCTGCCCTTCCAGGTACTCCCTGCCCTTCCAGGTACTCCCTGCCCTTCCAGGTACTCCCTGCCCTTCCAGGTACTCCCTGCCCTTCCAGGTACTCCCTGCCCTTCCAGGTACTCCCTGCCCTTCCAGGTACTCCCTGCCCTTCCAGGTACTCCCTGCCCTTCCAGGTACTCCCTGCCCTTCCAGGTACTCCCTGCCCTTCCAGGTACTCCCTGCCCTTTCAGGTGCCGCGTGCTCTGTCAGGAGCCCCATTGGCAGCTCTAGCTAATGTTGCTGTCACAGGTAGCATCAAATGACCTGAGGGTGTATCTTCTTGAGAGTGGCTGTAGTAACTGCACTGTGTCTGTGCTGGGTGTGTGTTGCTCATTCACATTGCTCCATGCACAGAGGAGGCGCTCCACATCCGCCTGCTCTTTCTCGCGCTCTTTCTTTGCTGGATTGGCATGCCTCGCACTTGGATGGTCACGCCTCAGAAACATCTATTGCTCTGGATTGTTTCTGCTAGACGGTCTCATACTCATTCCTTCTCGACTCTCCGTCCTGTGTCACCCACTCACACTCCCTTTCACTCCTTTCTTACTCCAACTCCTCGCTCTCCCTCCCCACACTCCCTTCTCACATTCCTTCTAACTCTGCGCTCTCAATCGCCCTTCTCACACTCTTTCCTCACACTTCCTCCTCACACTCCCTCCTCAAACTACCTCCTCACAGTTTTTCCTCGCACTCTCACTTCACATCACTCAGTCAAGTCACATCTCCTTTTCACATCCTTCCTATCCTCATTCAAGTGTTCCCGTATTCTCCCATTCTCCCTTCGAGGCCTACTTGGCCTATTATGCGTTATGCCCATCCTCATCCCTTGGGGTTGATTTAGATTCCCCGTATTTTCCATAGAAATTCCCTACATTTTCCGTAGACATTACCACTAGAGCCTTACACAACGCACCCACGTTTCCTTCTCTCCTCATGCTCACCTCTTGTCCCTGCTCTCTGCTCATTCTCCTGTCGTTGCATCCTCTCGTCGCTTCCAGGTCCCCTCTGCTCTCCTCTGCTCTCCTCTGCTCTCCTCTGCTCTCCTCTGCTCTCCTCTGCTCTCCTCTGCGTCACATTACACACCCCCTTCGTGTTTGCTCCCCCCTTCGTGTTTGCTCCCCCCTTCGTGTTTGCTCCCCCCTTCGTGTTTGCTCCCCCCTTCGTGTTTGCTACCCCCTTCGTGTTTGCTCCCCCCTTCGTGTTTGCTCCCCCCTTCGTGTTTGCTCCCCCCTTCGTGTTTGCTCCCCCATTCGTCTTTGCTCCCCCCTTCGTGTTTGCTCCCCCCTTCGTCTTTGCTCCCCCCTTCGTGTTTGCTCCCCCCTTCGTGTTTGCTACCCCCTTCGTGTTTGCTCCCCCCTTCGTCTTTGCTCCCCCCTTCGTGTTTGCTCCCCCCTTCGTGTTTGCTCCCCCATTCGTGTTTGCTCCCCCCTTCGTGTTTGCTCCCCCATTCGTGTTTGCTCCCCCCTTCGTGTTTGCTCCCCCCTTCGTGTTTGCTCCCCCCTTCGTGTTTGCTCCCCCATTCGTGTTTGCTCCCCCATTCGTGTTTTCTCCCCCCTTCGTGTTTGCTCCCCCCTTCGTGTTTGCTCCCCCCTTCGTGTTTGCTCCCCTTTTCCCTCTCCCACCCGTCGCGCACCTCTCTCGCCGCGCATTCTCCTGTCGTTGCATTCTCCTGTCGTTGCATTCTCTTGTCGTTGCATTCTCCTGTCGTTGCATTCTCCTGTCGTTGCAGCCTCTCTTTACTTTCCCTCCCTCTCGTCCGATGCAGGTACTCTCCTCTCTCCTCTCCTTTGCATTATACACCCCCTTCGCCTTCCTTCCCCTCTTCTTCTTCCCACACGTCTCTCTCCCCCTCCCCTGCCTTTGCTTCCCCCCCCCCCCCCTCGTCCCATGCAGGTACTCTCTGCTTTCCTTTGCTTCTCTGCCCGCCTTGTCCTTCAAGGGTGGTACAAATGAGGCAGTGCACTCAAACTACACCACTTTGTGATCTGTTGTTATATAAGTCAGACTTTGACGACACAACGATGCTATTAAATGGGAACAAGGGAGTCAGACGTTTGATTGCGATTTAATACCTCTCAAGTGTGAAGTTGCAGCAATCTGTGATTTACTAATATGAGAGCTGTACGGAAGTTGGGTGTTTTTGTGCTTGAGTGAAGGCCTGCCTCCTGTTACTCTCGCTGCAATAATTTTCCCGAATTCCGCATGTTTTTGTTATATTAACTTCATTACAAGATTATTCCCCTCTATGCTACTCCCCGCCCCACACATACACCACACCCTGATCCCCCACTCAACCCACCACTAACCAGCACCTACCAGTAACACAGCATGTCACAGCTCCCAGCGCCGTGTGCTTGAAGCATCTACACCCTGACCGTTCAACACTCTGCTGCTGCTTTACACGCTAATACCCCCAGCAGACATTCCATCATTGCTCGAAACAGGGTCCACCGCATTGCAAGAGCTGACCTGACAAGCTCAGGAAGAACACGACTCATTTCCGCCAGGCCTCACTGGCATCACGAGATGTTGCCAACGATCTACTCGTCATGGTCGTGTTGATCGTCATGATGGGCGTGATGATTGTCATGATGGTCATCATGGTGGTCATCATGGTCGTCATGATGGTCATCATGGTCATCGTCGTCCTTCTTCGCCTTCTTCGGCGCACACGCCTTCACGCACGCCATGTAATTCGGCTCGCACCCCACCTTCTTCGCCTGGTAGCACTGGCGGCGGTGGTACAGGCACCAGTCCTTGCAGCCCCACTTGCCGTACTTGCAGCTCTTGAACGACCGGTACGCCATGCGCCCGCACGTCTTAGCCTGCGCCTCGCACGTCGCCATGCCCTCAGAGGAACCTGCCGCTTTCTCCGCGCACTCGTGCTTCTTCTCCGCGCACTTGTGCTTCTTCTCCGCGCACTCGTGCTTCTTCTCCGCGCACTTCTTCTGCTTGAGCTGGAATTTCTGCATGCACGTGAGAGGCTTCGGCTTAGGCTTTGGCTTCTCTTTCTTCTCGTGATGATCGTCGTCGTCGTGATGGTCGTGATGATCGTCGTCGTGATGATCGAGCACCGAGTGGCAAACTAGGGCGAACTGGCACTGCTCCCGGGCCCGCGAGCCCTCGGGATTGTCGACGGCCCGACGACCTCGGGTTTCGCTGAGACAAACCCGAGAAGGATATCTCAGCGCGTGGCAATTTCCCAGCTGGACACGTCGAGCCGCGATCTTCGCCACGCGGCAACAGGGGGACGACCGGGATCGTCCCCGAGGTCGCGGGACCAACGAGGGCTGCCACGATCGCCACGGCGGTTCCACGCGTCGCTCCCTGGTCGATCTGCTTTTCGCGGGAACAAAGCGCGCCGACCTTTTTTTCACGGGAAAAAATAAACCCGCTTATATCGCAATGTCGGTGTTGCCCACCTATCCAACGGCCGATAAGCGAGCCACGCGTCTTACCCCGACCGGCCCCGCCGCTGTCTAGGTGCAGCGAATCGAACCACACACGGGCTGGCGCCAGAGGGAATGTCGGCGTCGATCAAGAGAGGCTTTTTGTGGGCATGACACGCGGCTCTGTATGATGTGATGATAAAATCACGCGGGAAGTCGGCGGCCCCGGCATTCATGGTGCGAGGCACCAATGGTGAGTTGACGACACATAGCGCATGCCCATGACACCGTGGAATGGCCAGGCGTTAAGCTCAGTGAGTGCAGCGCGGCGTACCACTAGCCATGCATGGCACGTGGCACGTCGGAAACTCCGCCGCCGAACGAGGATACATGCACGCTGGCACTTGCAAAGGGGTTTGCGTGGAGCGCGACAGGTCTGGAGTCGCTCACGACCATACCCCTCCACCTCCAAGCCCTGGTTGCTCATTCTGCCATTCTGTCTGTGTTCCTTCCCTCTCGTGTAGAGCATGCGCCCTCTGGCACTTAGCATTTTCCCCTCTCATCCTACCAGACGAGCATTTTCACGATTGTAGGTTCGGTCGCCGACCAGACGAGCTCGTTGGCATAGTTTGCGTCGACTTGGCTGAGACGCCGACCAGGTCCGTACTTAGGACACCTATCGGTTAGACACCGACCTCGAGCGCCGACTTCCAAATTGGCCGACGCCAGCAACTGCCTAGGTCCAATGTTCGAAGCTCTGCCGGATTGCCCTCTTCCAGCACTGGGCGAAAAGGGTCAAGAAGATCAACACCGAAACGAAAAAAAAGCGCCGAGACCCGACCCTCATCCAGCCGGAGGTAAGCCATCACTGAAGTCGGCGTCGCCCTGTTACAAATGTGTGTTAATGCCCCTCACCGCCAACGTCATTCTCCGACCATTGCAAGAAATCTTTGTTCAATTGGACGCCGAATACGAGGTCATGCCTGTCCGCCAGACGCTGTTGTACGAGAGGGAGCTCTCCGCGGTCGAGAAGATTGACCTCCTGGACGAGCTCGAGAAGCGCGACGCGACCATCGCGACGCTGACCGCCGAGGTGACCCGTCTCACTGAGGCACTCCGAGTCTCAGAAGCACAGAGGGTGCTGGAGGCGCCGCTGGCGGCGAACGAGGAACTGCCGAGCGAGGGTGGCTCTGCGGAGTTGGCAAGTACTGGGGCGGGAGCCAAGAAACGGGATGAGAAACCCGAGAAGCCCCCACAGACGGTCGACGAGGCTCGTTACGAGCTCAATGTGGTCCATCCTTGGCGAGAGGCCAAAATCGTGCGGGACGCGTGGCGCCACTGGAACTGCATCACCGCCGAGGACACCCGTCGACTTTGCGACGGTTCAAGGAGCCGGGATTTGCCGACCGCCACACTCTCCTCGTCGGCGCCTCGCAGGGTGCACACGACATGAGGGTGCGCCGCATGCTGAAGGCCATGGATGCAGTGCGCCTCCTTCGCGTGAGCGACGGCGAGGCCGACACCGAAGCCGTTGTCGATGCTCTGGACAAGATCGCGGCGCCGGGCATTGGGGCCTTCTGCGATGCCCTAACGGTGCTAAAAGAGGGAACCGGGCTGACATTCTCCAAGGAGGCGGGCAAGGGCGTCAAAGGGCTCGGCAAGACGGAAGCTCCCAAGCTACGTGTCGCGTGTGCGCTGGTTGCGCACGGGTTGAGGCCAAAAGAGTGGGTCGCCGCCCTGTTCCCAGACACCTGGGAGGAGCAGATGCCAAAGACATTGGCCGACATGGCCAATGAGAGCGCCGCTCGGAAGCGGCCTCCAACCAAGGTGCCGTCCAAGCGTAAGAAGACCGCGTGAATGGTCTTGCAGCATGTTCGTATGCGGTGTTGCATGCTTTAGATCTGGTCGATGCAAACAATCCCTTGTTCTGATATTGTTACGGTACATTCTAAACAACACGCATTCGACGCCGTCAAAGTGAAACCAGCCGGCGTGAATGGTCGTGGAGCATGTGCGTGTGCGTTTTTTCATGCTGTAATTGTTGTCGACTAAATCAGCACGTAGATAGGGCTAAAATACAGAACCCATGCGAAACTCCGTGATCCTACAATTGAAACAGCAGTGAGTTTTTTACCACAAACACCCCGCAGACACTGGCAGCCAGCCCGCCATGTCGACCAACACAATCTACGCCGCTCTGGCATCGACATATAGGCCGGAAAACAAAGATGACATGGTTAATCGCCGTGTAGCATGTGAGTGTGCAATTAAGCCTGTTGTGATTATGGTCGACATTGTTTAGGGTATCAATAGCCGATTAGCAAACACACACAGAAAGTTACATGCGCTACACTAAAACGGCGCCGATAACTCAAACATGCTATACACCCTAGCAAGCATACCACAAAGCGCGCCCCCCGACCGTCGACTACGCCGCACTGCTGTGCTTGCCCTTCTTGCCCTTCTTCCCCGCCCTGTTGTGCTTGCCCTACTTGCCCTTCTCCCCCTTCCTCCCCTTGTGGTCCAAATCGTACTCCATCTGCACGTCACTGGGCACAGCGATGTCGAGCTCTTCTAGTTTGGGCCCAGCCACAACGCACATTCGTCAGAACGCCATGGTCTGTACCGTCACTCTAGCAATCATGTCGGCCTCGACTCCCCCATCTCCCCCCCGGATAGGCCCTCGCTAGAGCGAGACTCTGCAACGCCGGCGCGACGTTGTGGGCAACCTCGCCTGCGGCTGGCTCCCTCTTGATCTCGACGTCCAACACCGCCTGCATGACCTCCTTGAAGACATCGGCTGTCTTCTCGCTCGCACCAGCCACCATCGCCGCCGCCTTCCCTTCGCTCACAGCACTGAGCACCGACCCACCGGTCTCGACGAAGCACCACACGGCGCAAGCGGAGGCCGCTAACGCCTCGGCCGCCAACTCCGTCTTCTCATCCGTGTCTCCCGCCTTCCTCGCCGCACTCACAGCGACCTTCCCAAACGCTGCGCACATGGACACGCAGTGTATCATGGCCGACATCAAAGCAACCGACTCCGCCTTCTCCTCCTTGGTCTCTTCTTTGATGGGGAACCAGACCGCCGGCAGGAGCGCGTCGTGAATTATATCATCGAACCTGTCACACAATCACAACCAAATGGGAGAGTGTTAGTAACACCGACATCGTCGGCAGCACTAGGCGGATGGGCAGCCGTCTTACCGTGTTCGAGGAAGGTATACGCCTCGGGCCCAGATCTGCGTCCACATCCCAGTCGGCAAAATCTTGACCTCCTCCCACACCTTCTTCCATTCTTCCATCGTGGTTTCCTCCAAGCCGGTGAGCTCGTCCATGAGGACAGGGCTGACGTAACCGTCATAGACGATGTACGCCACCGAGTGGAGGTAAGCCAGCTCGAAGAAGTCACGAGACTTGCCGATGTATCGCGACTCGCTGACCACCTTGATCCCGCCCACCCATCCTTTCCCGTCGCCTGCCTTGTCTTGGCGAATGCCATGCCCCTTCCGTCCTTTCTCCTTCTCTTTCTCCACCCCCTTCCCCTTCCCTTTCCTCGCCGACTTCCCATTGCCGACCTCCTTGTCCTCATCCTTCCCTTTCTCCGCCGACATCGCCCGCGTTTTCCTCTCCGAGATCGCCTTCCCTTTCCGTTTCAACTTTCCCTCGCCGACATCGCCCGTAGCAGACAATGGCACCGCTGAACCACCGGCAAGAGTCGTCGACGGCTCCACGTGTGCCGTGTCAGAGATGGCCAGTGCAGGGGGATGCCCAGTGCGTTTGGCTGCATCCAAGTGTGTCTGGATGGCAGCGATATCCGCGTCTGTCTCCATGTCTGCAGCGGTGCCACCAATAGCAAGCGTGGCTCGAACTCCCTTGTCCGCCGCACCGTCGACATCAGCTGTCACGAGAGTAGGTACGGGAACAATCCCCGCTTTCGGCGTCGCGGTAGTGCCTGCCGAGGTCGGGTTGGCGCAGCCGCACTATGTGCGCCCAACCGCGAAGCAATGCGGATTTCGGGTCCGATGGAGTACGGTCGGCAACGGCAGGCACAACCCGTGGGGCTGCTGCACTGGACGATGCGACGGCGACGGTGGGGCCGCCCGAGGGACCTGTTGCTCTGGCAACCCCAGCATCGACGATGAGAGGCTGCTGCAAAGCCTTGCGACTCGCAAGAAGCTTCAGTTGGGCCTTGAGCGCGTTCGCCGCCGTGACCACCTTGGTGGGGTCTGCATGTGGCGGGACGTCGCCCTTGGAAGCAGATGGGCCAGTTGGAGCGCCCACAACAGCAGGAGGGTGATGGGGAATCGAGGAAGTCGGTGCCGGGCCGGTTCTGACGACACAACCTGTCGCCGTTTGAGCAGTGGGGATCGCCTTGTTGCTCAGGCCTTTCCCATCACTCGCCGGAAGGGGAGGCTTCTCGGAGACCAAAGTCGGGGCACTTGCTCCAGCGACTTGAGCGGCATTCGCGTCGGTAGGACCTGTCACGCTATATTTCTTATAGCTTGTATTTGTTAGTCCAGGTGTTACGTTCTGCCCTAGGTTGAGTTAGGGTTTGCTATATACTTTTGTTCTTGCATGTTGTTAATTCATTCGATATTTCCTATTGTAACATGGTATAAATCATTCGATCCTATGGGCCCACCGCCCCCGTGCCCCGCCCGTTCCCGTAGTGCCCCGTAGCCCGAAGCGCCTTGCCCCTGTAGCACCCGTGTAGCTCGCGTAGACCGGCCCGCCCGTCGCCTCCGTAGCGCCTGAAGCGCCTCGCCCCCGTAGATCGCGCCCCCCGTCGCATCCCTGTTCCCCCCTTCCCGTCGCGTCCCCGTCACCCCCCTGTCCCCTCTCCGCCGCCTCCGTGTCGCGTCCCCGTCGCCTAGTAGTAGTTCGATCCGATGGGCCCACCGCCTAGCGCCCCGCCCTAGCCCGTTCGCACCTCGTCGGCCGTAGCGCCCCGTCACCCCGTTGCCCGTTCGCGCCCCGTCGCCCGTAGCGCCTCGACCTCTCGTCGCCCGTAGCGCCCCGTCACCCCACTGCCCGTTCGCGCCCCGTTGCCCGTAACGCCCTGTCATCCCGTCGCCCGTAACGCCCCGGCTCCCCGTCGCCCATATCTCCCCGTCACCTCGTCACCCGTAGCTACCCGTAGCGCCCCGGTCGCCCGCCTGCCCGACCACAACCCTAATCCGCCCCGTCACCCCGCAGCCCAGCGCGTCCCGTCACCCCGCTGCCCGTACACGTACCCGCTACCCCCGCCCCGCACCCCTTCCTGCGCGTGCAGCTCGCCCGCAGCCACCCGCGCTGCCCGCACATCCGCGCGCGCAGCAGCAACCCGGCGCGCGCGCAGCTGCACACACGGCCCGCTAACCGTCCGCTACCCGCCCGCTATCCGCTACCCGCTACCCGTTACCCGCTACCCGCACCCCGCCTTCTACCCGCTACCCGCTACCCGCACCCCACGCGCTACCCTCTACCCGCCACCCTTACCCGCCGCCCCTACTCGCAGCCGCGCGCACGCACGGTAGCAGCACCCACGCGCACGGCAGCAGCGCGCACACGCACGGTGACCGCGCACGCACGGCAGCAGCGCACGCACGCACATACAGTTGCCGCACGCATGCACAGCAGCCGTGCTCACAGCAGCGGCACCTCCCGCACCCGCCTGCCCCCAGCCCACCCGCAGCAACCCTAATCATTCCCGCACCTAGATACGCACCCCGCACCTGTCCACGCCCCACACCCCGGAATCGCCCGCAACCCTAATCCGCACCCACACCCTGGAACCGCACTAGACCGCCCTCAACCGCACAGGTCGCTCCCCACCGCACTAGACCCCTCCCAACCGCATTCAACCGCTCTCGACCGCTCCTGACCACTTCTAGCTCCTACTATGGCGTCCACTAGAGTTCTGGAGCAGCAGGGCTAGCTGCAGTAGCTGCAGCACTCCCGACAATGGGGAACTGAGGGTCCAAGGAGCGTCGGCCCCAGCAGCGGCCCAGCCAACTGGGGGAATCACCGCAGTGGCCGCGACGTCGGTCCCTGCGAGTACCGGATTCTAATTGAGGGATAGCCTAGTACCTGCCTTTGTCGCTCGCACGGGTACGACCTCAGCGACTGCACCTCTTTCGTTCACCCTCGACTCTGAAGCGTCCAGATGTTTCTTCCGCGACTGCACCGACCTTACACCGTTGCGCACTCCAGTCACTGTCGCCTTGACTGACCCCACGATGGGACATGTCGTTGCTCACAGTTTCACCACTCTCCCGTGTCCGGCGGCCCTCTCTGGGGTCCTTACAGGTAACTACACCCCCTCGTTCTCCAGGAACTTGGTGGGTGCCAGTCACCTCCACGACCTCGGAGTCGCCATCCTTTTCCATACAGACGAGCATGTAGCTATCTGCACAGAGGGGGCCACTGGGGCGCACCTGGCCACCTTTCACAGGGAGCATGACTTCGGTCTGTACTCGCTACACACTGGGTCTCACCACGCCAGGTCAGGTCAGGCCAGGTCAGGTAGCTGCTGTGTCGTGCGACTATCGGTCACTCACCCACCCGTCGGTCCTCTGGCACCACCGTCTCGGTCACCCTTCCTTCCCGCGTCTCAGTCGTATGGTACGTCACCGTCTGGTCTCAGGTCTCCCAGAATCGCCCGCCCCGCTTCCTGGCTCACATGCGCCGCCGTGCACTCTTTGCGTCGAGGGTCGGCAGCGCGCTGCCCCTCACTCCTCCTCGTTCCCCCCCACCACGGCTCCCTTACAGGCTTTGCACATGGACGCCTGGGGTCCCTCCTTAGTCCTTGGCCCGTGTTAGGAGCGCTACTTCCTGATTGTGGTGGACGACTTCTCCCGCTACACCACAATTTTTCCCTTGCGACGGAAGGCCGGCGTGCCTGACGTCCTAGAGCCGTGGTTGTGGGGAGTATGTGCCACGTAAGGTCGTCTTGTGCTTTGTCTCCACTCCGACCGTGGTGGTGCGTTTGCTTCCGCTTGTCTGGAGGCGTTCTGTCAGGGTCAGGGGATCACCCAGTCTTAAACACTACCAGACTCGCCGTAGCAGAACGGGGTAGCTGAGCGATGCATTGGCTTGGTCATGGATGTTGTCCGGACCTCCTTGTGCCATGCCAGTGGCCCCCAGTTCTTGTGGCACCAGGCAGTCCGCTACGCCACCCACCAGCTGAACATGTGGCCAAGTGACGCGCCCCTGGCGCGAACAAGCTGTATGCTCGCACCCGTCCCTGCGTCTTTCTTGGTTTCCCTCTAGACGCCTCCGGCTGAGCGTTCTACGACCCGGTCACCTACCAGTTCTTCAGTTCTCGGGACGCCACTTTCGACGAGTCAGTCTGTTACTACAGAATTCGCCCTCACCGAGGTGCTGAGGTCCTTTCCCCCCCACTGTTCCTCACCCCCGTGCCCCCCCCCCCCACTCCCCCCCCCCCCCCCCCCCCCCCCGTCGCCCAGGTAGCCCCCCCCCCTTCGCGTCTTGCTCCGTCAGGTGTGTCACACGTCACCCCGCAGTCATCTCCGTCCCCGGTCTCTGTCGGCTCTAGGGGTGTGGGAGGTGCAGATGCGGAGGATGCGGGTCGTGGGGGTGCTGGAGCTGGTGGCGACGACTCTGGGGGTGCTGGTGGTGGGGGTCCGGAGGCCCCTCCTGTGGAGGACACGGCTCTCTCGAGTCGGCGACCACGCCTCGCCTCACCACCCGGCTTCCCCCCCGCTCCGCAGTTCCCTTCTCCTTCGTCTCTGCGGCCGGTTGCTGTAGAGTCTGGGGGTGCTTCTGCTGGCTGTTAAGGAGAATCAAGGGCTGGTGCTGTTGGAGGTGACACTGTTCGCACTAGCGCTCGTGGCACTGGCTCTGCGGAGCATACTTAGCCTCCGGTCCGTCACTTCACGCGTCTACAGAGTGCTCTACAGCGGGAGCAGCTTGAGAAGCAGCCGCGGCGGCAGCAACCACCGCAGCAACAGCAGCAGCTGCAGCAGCCGCAGCAACAGCAGCGGCAGCGGAAGCAGAAGCAGCAGTAGCAATAGCGGCAGCAGGAGCGTTGCAGCCGCAGCAGCGGCAGGCGGAGGCGGAGCAACAGCCGCGGCAGCAGGAGAAGCTGCAGGAGCAACAGCAGCACCAGAAGTTGTAGCCACAGCAGGAGCAGCCGCAGGAGGAGGAGATGGAGGAGCGGCCGTAGAAGCAGGAGCAGTTGCAGCTGCAGTAGGAGCAGGCGGAGTCGGAGCAGCAGCCGAGCCAGGGGCGGGGGGAGGAGCAGCAGCAGAAGACGCCGGAGGCGGCGGAGCGGCAGTGGGTGTTAGAGCTCCCTGACCCCGCACCGGCACGTTTTGTCAATCGTCTCCTGCCC